ATCACAACATATTCTAAATACAAACAACAAACGGAAACTCTTAGAAAATGTCTTAATATTAAAAAACAAAACAGATCCTCTGACCCTCCTTTGAAAGATTTGAACTCTAACACGAGAATAGATGAAGACCCCATTACCAGCACAAAACATTTCAGGATATCAGTGTGTCTCACATAATGAAGATTATGGAAGAAAACTATGAGGTTTGGAGGAAAAGAAAAGAATTCTCAAAAGAGAGCTGAAATTTCCAGTAGAGTAACTCCATTTATGACTCATATTTTACACTGGAAATATTTACAATTTGTTTTATATTACACATTGGTCTACAAATACCCTCATCTAAGACTCCCAAACTCTGGTGCTCTTAGCTTGGTAGATGCCAGACTGAAAAACACAAGGTCTGCACCCTGGCTGTGGTTTGGGGGCTTTGATCCAAGGCACAGCTAATCGTGGATTTAGCTCCCCCTGGCGGTGGTGTATGAACTTAACACAAGACGCTGTCTAAAAGTTGAAAGGGATCCCTGGCGGGGCTTATCTGGTTAAGACCTCTCCTTTTACAAAGGGGGAAATCAAGGCTCTGAAACGATGATAAGGGTGCTGCCCAAGTTCATAGCGGGAAGTGGATGATCAAAGAACAGAACCCAGGTCTCTGTCCTCTTCTGATTTAAACACCCCACAATACCTGTACACAGTGAAGGTAGGAAAACACCCCACCCCTCCCCCACCCAAGCTTCTAGCCTTTTAGAATCTCTTGAGAACTTTTATCTGCAGACTTTATTATTTTTTAATGTTTTATTTATCTTTTGGGGGAGGGAGAGCACGAGTTGAGGGGGGGTAGAGAGAGAAAGGGACACAGGATCTGAAGCAGGCTCCATGCTGACAGCAGTGAGCCCAATGTGGGCTCCAGCTCACCAACGGTAAGATCATGACCTGAGCTGAAGTCAGAGGCTCAACCAACTGAGCCACCCAGGCGCCCCTAACTGTACCATTTTAATTTCAACTGGTCAAATTCTTGGGCTGAACTCAGAATTGGGTTGCTGTAAATACAAGCAAACACATCGAGAGCACAGGTGCTGGGTCCACCTCAGACCTACCTGCCCCCCAGGGTGTGGGCCTAGTCCCTCTATTTTCACCTGCTTCCTAGGTGCCTCACCTACTTGGCAGACTTGGGAATCATGTAGGGGAGCCTGTAGTTGTTCCCGAGTCATGACCAAGATGACTATATTTATATACGGGTCACCATTGTCCCTGCCTGTCTGCGCTTCGGTCTCTCATCGAGCTGAGGGGGAGGTTCTTTGGGTTTAATCTGCTGCAGTTTGCAGAAAAAGGATACTGTGAAGGCCTGGTGCCACCTGGGGCAAGCCATCAGGCCCCCAGGCAGATCCCTGACAGCAGCAAGACCTTGAATGAGCTCATAGCGATCCCAGGGCAGGCCCTCAGGCTGACCTCAGGTGGCATCGAGTTCACCCCTCAGGGGTGTGCTTGTATTAGCCAAGCTCCCAGAGATTGCCTCTTAGTTGTTTTACCCCAAGAAATATAATCATCCTGTACCTGGACTTTCAGGTGCTTACCCACAGAGGCTCTGTGGTTGGGTCAACATGGAGTCAGAAGTGAGAGCAGATGGTGGTTGTTAAGAGTGGTGGGTCAGAAGGACTTTCCTGGAAAAGAGAACAGCATGCAAGAGAGCTGCAAACAATTGACCTGGCTGGGGCCGGAGGCAGGAGGCGGGGCCAGGGACCATTGCCTGATGCGACAGCTAAGACTTTGGATCTCATTCCGGAAATGACAGGAAGTCACTAAGGGGCACTAAGCACGATAGTGACACGACACGAGTGCATTTCATGGCCCCGCGCGGAAGAGAGGCCAATGAAGGGATGGTCACAAGGAAACCCAGCAGAGAATTCTGTAAGCAAAGATGGGTCAGGAAGAGGATGGCCTGAAACAGATCCTTTAGATGCGACAAGGAAGGGGTGACGGGAGGAGACCAGGGATATTTAGGGATATTTAGGAGGCATGGATAGAGGAGGGAACCGGAGATGAGGTAGACTGACTGTGGACCAGAGACATTTGGGATATTTAGGCTGTTGTACAGCCAGTGAAATTTTGAGAAATCAAACAAAACACAAATTAAGAACCAAAATTAGGTAGCTAACCTTTTTCTTTTTCCAATACGGATAATTTGTTAACATCATCACGTTTTAAGGCCACTAGTTAATAAAAGAAGGGGCATTTTAACTCTCCCCATAGGAAGGCCTAACCTCCAATAAAGGACCATCATTTAAAAGGGATAAATTTAGCTTAATAACCAACTCCTCATATCTCATTTATTTACTGTTCTCGTTTCATCATAGATTATACAGTCTCACTCCATTGATGACGCTAGTTTGCTGAAGGTGAACTGCTCTGTAAACTGTTTTGCTTTGTTTTGTTTTTCCAAGGAGTAGAGGAAAAAGATTGGCTACAGAGTCAAGAGTGTTTGGTTTCTGAAGGATGAAGACTGATTTGAGAAAATTAATGCACGGAGAAGAAAAAAAAATTGAAAGAAAGATTTAAAAATAGGAACTATATGCAACATAGTATCCCAGACTGGATCCTTAAACAGCAAAAGGACATTAGCAGAAAAATGGATGAAATACAAGTAAAGTCTATGGCTATACTATAATAGTATTATATCATATTAATTGCTTAGTTTTGATAAATGACCCTAGTTATGTAAGATGTTAGCATTAGGGAAAACTGGTGAAGGGAATACGTGGACTCTCTGTATGATCTTTGCAACCCTTACAGATCCAAAATTATTTAGAAACAAAAATGGGTTTTAAAAATAGCAACGACAGCACAGAAGAGAAAGGAGATGAGCAACAGACTAAAGTTCCTCAGACTGGACCTTGGAGCCAGGTGGCAGGTGGCGCCGGCCTCACACAGGAGAGGAACACCCTCTTCCCCAAGATCAAGATCAGAGGAAAGGGTTGGATCATGTCACAAATAATTTGCTAATAATTTGTCCGCAGGAATCAGAAATGGAAGCATTCTTCTTTTCATTAACAAGATAATATAGTAAATGACAGGACAAAACAGGTTAATAACAATGGTTTCTAAATGTAGGTGAAAAGTAAGTAAACAGTATACAGAGAAAATGTAGATTGAAGACGGAAATGAGTGGTTAATATTGCTTGGAAAGAAAAACAGCAGCAGCCTCGGACCCGGCTCTGTCTGCTAATAACCCTGCTCTGCAAGGATACTGAGAGCTGAAATCAGCAACCTAGAAAAGCCTTACTTTAGAGCAGCAGGTGAATTACGGAGGAGATTTCCAAAACTGTGCAGAAATAATAGCCGGACCCTGAGAGGGAGAATAATCGAGAGTGGAAGTGAGCACAACCCGGAGGGAAGACAGTCGCTTGGCACAGGAATAAATTCCGCAAGACAATGCAGTTGCTGCCATTTTCCGTCAAATTCTTCCATTTCGTTTCAGGAACAAGCATGGGCCCCAGCAGAAGCTTTCCATCGATCCCCACTAGTATATTTCATGCATTTTAAATTCTTCTTCAGCGAAAGTATGAATAATCGGCTTCTTATCAGCAGCCAATCTTCACTTTAATACATGTTTTAATGGCAGAAAAATACACAGTGATTACTCGTAATGCTTGCTTAGGACTCTCCATTTTTAGGGGGAAAACCAAGTAAAAATATATGCTTTTATTCTCAAAGGGGGATGCACCAAATAATATCACATATATTATTTAAAATTAATATATAAAAATTAAGAAATATTTTTTTCCATGATTGTGGAAAAAAATGTTGACTTTCTAGATAATAAGATTATGATACAGGGGTGCCTGGCTGGCTCAGGTGGTAGAGCATGTGACTCTCTTGATCTCAGGGCCCTGAGTCCAAGCCCCACATTGGGTGTGGAGACTACTTAATAAAATAAAATAAAATATATAATAAAATAAATCAAAATAAAATAAAATAAAAATGGATGAATACTGTTCCAAAAAAAAAGTTTATGATTTAAGTCATCTTGGGAAATGTTGCATGCTCTTTTATAAATGGGTGTTGCCTCAGTCTATTATAACTAAATACCAAGCCAGGTTTCTTTCATTTCAAACAAACTCCAACTCTGATTAATTTAAGCCAGATAAGGATTTAATGGAAGAACGGTTTGTGTGTTTAAGAATAGCTAAAGGGACAGAAACCAAGGCATCTTCCTGGATCCAGGGAGAGGAACCAATAATGTTTGCATCAAGGCTCTGACATTGCACCAACGGTGTCTTCCCATCTCGTGGCAATCTGCTGAGGATTCAGAGTAGTGAGAGAGAGTCCATTTGATCATCTTTGGGCATGGATAAGGTGAATTATGATGAAGAATTCACCAAAACCATCCACATTGTGAATAGATAATTCTGCAAAGGACTGTTAGTGAAAGAAATGGAGATAGAGTGGAAGAAATGGAGATGGCCACTGTTTGCCTTATTCTTTCATGTGGCCATGACTCTGTCTGAACTTGGAATTCCCCTTGACTTGTAATACCCTAGTTTTCCAGACTACCTGGTGAACTCCTGTTTTCCCTGTGAAAACCCAGATAAAGTAACACCTTCTGTGAAGCCTGGCAGAGGAAATCACTTTGCACTGTCTTTGTATCTCATACACACATCTCTTGTCAAACAGCTCACATTATATTGTAATAATTTGTATTTGTTTGAATCTCGCCTATTAGACTATAAATTTCTTGAGGGCAGGAATAATGTCTTTTCACCTATGCTGCCTTGGTACCTAAAACAGTGCTCATGATTAAGTATTCAACAAATGCTTGCTAAAATAAATGCAAACAATAAACTACTTCTATGTTTAAAAAGAGAAAAAGAAAGAGAGAAAGGAAAGGAAAGGAAACGAAACGAAAGGAAAGGAAAGGAAAAACAAAGAGGAAAGAAAAAGAAAAAGAAAAACTTTGAGGAAGCACAAGGAAAAACCTTTATAGACACAAAATAATTATCTGTTACCTTTGCAAATCTGCGTGATGTTTGGGAAAGCCTGGCAATATCTTCAAGATCCAGATAAGAAATGATATTCAGGAGCAAACTGTCTGAGAGCCGTTCAAGGAAGTCAAATTTACCTTCACATAAACTGAAGACATAGTCTAATATTCTCGCACCAAATATTAAGGCAATTTGAACTGTAATTCAAAGAAACCAACAAACCAACAAGGTTATCATGTGCAGTCAGGTAAAAACCATGACCCGTATCACTAAGACATGATTTAGGGCATTCTTCCCCCCGGGGGGTAATGTTGGATTAGACCAAGTCATTCCTACTGTCACCAAGCTGCCTTTGGGACCCGTGACATGCATTTGTGAGGCACTGGTTTACAGGTGCTGTCCCTGCCCTGAGATCAGAACCTTTGAGGGACACTCACTGTTGAACGCAGTGATGAACTGCATCCCCTTGATCTCATCAGCACCGACTTCCAGTCCAGACAACCAACTTAGCTAGTCTCAGTGCCTTCCTCACCCTCATCCCCGACTGGGCAACATTGCTGGTCCACGTGGATTTTCTGCTATCCCCCCCCCACCCCCACTACCCAGACTGGTCTGAAATATGTTAATATCTCTTCATTTGAGTTGATTTTTCTTCTCTTATTGTTATATGTTGTTTCTCCACCAAACTTTCTTCTTTCCTCTTTACCTTCTTTTATCCCCATCTTTACATAATGGGGGGAAAACGAGAAAGAAGAAAATAAGCAAATATTTCACGAAAATTGTGTTAACTTTTGCTTAATATTTTGTGCACTTTTTCAGTTATTTCCAAATTAGGAGACAGTTCACAAAGAATCAACCAATATAATGGTCTACCTAAGCATGCTCAATGCAAGGAAGTAATAGTGTGTTTCTTTTTTTAACCCTGAAAAACCTAATAAATAGGAAAACATGTTTAGAAGCATACATATTCAAGTTTTAACGTGGTTTAATCTGGATGGTGACTTTTGCTTTCTTCCTTTTGTTGATCTGTATTTTATAATATTTCTACAATAAACCTGTATTACCAGTGTAATTTTTTAAAATCTAGGTAGGAAGGAAGTAAAAAAGGAAGGAAAGAATGCTGCCTTCTTATATGAGAGGAAAGCACAGTTATGGTGGAGTAAGCAGGTGGATTCCAGTGATCCCAAACCTGGGGACATTTTTGGTTTCTTGAGTCTCATGTTTTCTGTTCTGACTCTGAAAGCATCACCATAGCCAGTCTTTCTAGAGAACTGTTCTTAGAAGAGAGAGAGCTCTCTACAGGAGACTAAATACCCAAGATTTGGGGACTACCTTCCTTCCTCAGTCTGGAATATCCCTTCTGGAGCAATCGGGATGGAGCCCTCAAGAACGCTGGGCAGAACTAATTTAACTGGATGATGGGTCTCTGATTTCAGAATGGATGTAAGGTGTGGGCCATATTTATGTAAAAACTAACTGTGCAACTTGGAAGAGCCAGGCATATAAGATTCCTCTCTAAAACTGGTCAGTCTAGCTTTCTAAGGCATTAAGGGTTTTAGTTGCTTCTGAATTCCAAGTGCTTCCAATTCAAAGCACTTCTAAAGTCCAAGGGCTTTCCTAAGGGAAAAACAGCCCTGTCAACTCTAAAGGATAGGTAATGTGGAGAATTCCTGGTCCACCAGCAGAATAAGAAAAAAAAAAGCAGTGCTTACTTAGTGGACAGAGAAGAAAAGCCCTTCGTATAATAAAAATTCCCTTAATATAACTGGAAATGTTTTTCCATTTCCAATGCCAGGAAAACATGTTCAATGCAGACTCAGATGTACTTTAGGAATTCTCTACCAGTAAAGTCCTTAAAATGTAAATATTATAAAAAGATATATACACTTAGGTGTGAAATGTGACAGATTCAGAGTGTATGGATATTGAGGTATTTAGAAAAATATTTCTGCTTAGTTGTATTTTTTATGTAACCAACATTGATTTCTTTTGAAATAAGAAAAAAAGAAGTTAAAACAAAGTCCATTTTGAAAGTAAAATCACTGCTTTCATGTTGGACTATGTTGGAGGCAATCAGCCTCCAAGATGGCACCACAAATCCTCTTCTCCTAGGTTCATTTTTCTGTGTCTCCCTCCCACACTGAATTAGAGGTGATCTGTGTAACTAATAGGATGGTGCATGAATGACATTCCAAGTCTTGGTCATAAAAGACACGGGGGACTCTGCCTTGCTGCTGCCTCTTGGATCGCTCACTCTGGGAGAAGCCAACTGCCATATGCTAACAATGCTCAGAAGTGCTCTGGAGAGGTCCATGGGGAATGAAATGGAAACTTCCTGGCTACAACCACCACTTCTTTGTCAGCCATGTATGTAAGTCATCATGGAACTGGAGCCTCAAGCCCCAGTTGAGCCTTCAGATGATGGAGGCTCCGTGTGACACCATACAAGACCCTGAATGGAACAACAGAGCTAAGTGGTTCTCAAATTCCTGACCCACAGAAACCATTTGAGTTAATAAACATTTATTATTGTTTTGACCAATTAAGTTCCAGGATAATTTGTTACACAACATTAGGCAATAAAAATTTGAGTGCCTCCAAGTGTTGTGGTGCCATACTGGAAACCCAAGATGTAGGAGTAGCTTTGAAATTGGAAAGTATACAGAAAATCTGAATGAGTTTGAAGAGGGTGTTAAGTGCAAGGATGAAGAGCTTTCAATAATTCAATTATTTATTGAATTAATTAATTAATAGCTGTTTGTAGACACTTGATGGGACTCTGAGGAGGCTTTGAAGGCAAGAGTTTAAAGGAAAGTGAAGAAAATATTATTAAAAACTGGAGGACAGGAGATCCTTGCCATGTAGTGGCAGAAAGTTCAGTTACATTGTTGCCTCCTGAGATATGCAAAGTAGGAAGGAAATAGACTTAAGGGGATGTGATTCGCTATGTAGATTTCCAAGCGAGGTGTTGAACATACTATCTGATTTCTTCTTGCTGCTTAAAGGAAAAGGTGAGAGCAAAGAGAGAAGCTAAAGATGGTTTCTTACAAAACTGCCAGGATTTGCTGATCCTGAATATTCTCCGCCTCTTCAGATGGCAAACAATGCTAAAATTAAGGAATGGGCCCGAGACAAAAATCAAATCTGGAACAATCTCAGGAAACTATGGCCTGAAGATGAAGCTGAGGGCATGGCTGGAAAACGCTTTGTTAAGAACCATTCAGTCAAATTTTAGAGCTTCCAAAAAGCTGAAGGGTATTGTCACTCGGGAGACAAGAGCAGAAACCAAGTTAAAGAAGGGATTATCTTAAAAAAAATAAAAGTGTGTAGGTGTGGTTTTGTTTAATGGAGTAAACTCCAGTAATAGCAATGGACAACAACATGAAGTTTTAAGAGAATTTACAGGTAGAAACACTGCCTGCCAGCTTGAACTGAAAGAGTCAGAGGCAGTGCAAAGGGAAAAAGACTTTGGACTCTCAAATTCCTACCAGGAGGAAGTAGGCTGAGAAAATAAAGCCTGCAAAGAGGGGCTAACTTTTGTGGACAAAGAAGATGGCTCAGAGTATGGAACCACGAGCCCAGGAGGTAAAGCCCAAGAGCTATGAAGAACTAAGACAGGGACTTAGAAATATTGCTAAACTAACTAACTTAAAATCAGACCTACTGGACAATCCCTCAGAAATATATAATTTATCAGTTCTGACTCAAAAAGAAAAAGAAAACCCAAGAGACTATAACCAGTAAATATATTAAATCCACTGACTGGATTAAACAGGAAAACCATCAAGCAAAGTTTCAGATCTACACTGCTTTTCAGGTAAGCCCTTGATAAACTCTCAGAGAAGAGACAATCCATACCTTAGGTAAGTTGTCCCAAAGAATAGAAGTAGAAGGAAACCCTCAACCCACATTATGAGGTTGCTTAAACTAGCAATGATGTGTAGGCAAGAAGAAAATTTGTATCTAGAAAATCACTTAGGAGCACATGTGGCAAAAATTCTACATCAAATGTTAGGAAATTCAATCTATCGACATATAAAATAAATAGATGAATTGTGACCATTATAGTTAATCCCAGGATGATCCAAGGATGGAATAATTTTGGAAGACTATTTAATATAATTCACCATATAAACAAATAGGAAGAAAAATTATCATCTCAAAAATACAGAAAAATTGTTTCATTAATTTTAACCCCTATTTTTTAATAAAAACTCTTAAAAATTGGCACACCTGGGTGGCTCAGTCAGTTAAGCATCCAATTCTTGATTTCAGCTCAGGTCATGATGTCACAGTTTGTGAGAACAAGCCTCACATTGGGCTCTGTGCTGACAGCACGGAGCCTGCTTGGGATTCTCTCTTTCCCCCTCTCTCTGCTCTTCTCCTGCACAAACTTTCTCTCTCTCTCACTCTCTTTCTCTTTCTGTGCATGCTCTCTCTCAAAATAAATAAACATTAAAAACAGAAATTCTACTGGAAAATGGTCAGCATCACTTGTCTGTATACCAACAACAATTAATTCAAAGTGATGACTTAAGATGCATTTGTCTTTTGACTCAGCAATCTCACAAACATATTGACTAAATAGAAAATAACTCATGCACAAGGTTATTCATTTTTGGCACTCCTTGTATTATCTCAAGATTAGAAAGAACCTAAAATTTCATCACTAGGATTCTGGTGCATTCACATAAAGAAATACAACACAGCTGTGAAAGAAAAGGAAAAGAGGAGCAGGAGGGAGAGGGTGAGGAAGAGGAGGAAGGAGAGAAGAGGAGGAAAGGGAGGGGGAGGAAGATCTCTTAAGGCATGAAATGATCTCCAGGATATACTGGTGGAAACAGTAGGGGTAGAATGCTACCATTTGTATAACGGGTAAGGGGATGCAAACACATATGTATATGAATTCGTTTATATCTGCACAAAGAATCACTGAAAGGGTCCATAACAAATACAAGTGGTTAGCCTAGGGCAAGGGAAGGGAAAACGTGGAGCAGATAGTGATGAAACCAAGCCTCTGGATGCACATTGTTTTACAGTTTTGACTTTGGAAACACATCCACGTTTTACATACTCTTAAAACAGAATTTTAATTGTTGCAAATTTT